ACCGCGCAGGAGTGGGGGCCGGGGGGGGAGGAAGTAGGTCCCCCCCCCTTATTGTTTTATAAGGGCCCCCACCCACCGCTCAGGGGTGGGGGCCAGAGGGGGAGGACAGTATGTCCCCCCCCTTATTGTTTTATTGGGGCCCACACCCGGCCCCACCCACCGCGCAGGGGTGGGGGCCAGGGGGGGAGGACAGTAGGTCCCCCCCCCCTTATTGTTTTATTGGGGCCCCCACCCACCACTCAGGGGTGGGTGCAGGGGGGAGGACAGTAGGTCCCCCTCCCTTATTGTTTTACTGGGGCCCCCACCCACCGCTCAGGGGTGGGGGCCAGGGGGGGAGGACAGTAGGTCCCCCCCCCTTATTGTTTTATTAGGGCCCCCACCCACCGCGCAGGAGTGGGGGCCGGGGGGGGAGGAAGTAGGCCCCCCCCTTATTGTTTTATAAGGGCCCCCACCCACCGCTCAGGGGTGGGGGCCAGAAGGGGAGGACAGTATGTCCCCCCCCTTATTGTTTTATTGAGGCCCCCACCCGGCCCCACCCACCGCGCAGGGGTGGGGGCCAGGGGGGGAGGACAGTAGGGGGGGGAGGACAGTAGGTGTCCCCCCTTATTGTTTTATTAGGGCCCCCACCCACCGCTCAGGGGTGGGGGCCGTTGGGGAGGACAGTAGGTCCCCTCCCCCTTATGGTTTTATTAGGGCCACCGCGCAGGGGTGGGGGCCGGGGGGGAGGTAGTAGGTCCCCCCCCTTATTGTTTTATAAGGGCCCCCACCCACCGCTCAGGGGTGGGGGCCAGGGGGGGAGGACAGTAGGTCCCCCCCCCCCTTATTGTTTTATTAGGGCCCCCACCCACCGCTCGGGGGTGTTGGTGAGGAGGGACATTGTGGCCCCCCATCTTCATGGCCCCACCGCGCTCAGGGGTGGGGGAGAGGGAAGGACAATAGGTCCGCCCCCCCTTATTGATTTATGTCTTTTTTTTCCAACAGTGAGCAGCCACAGGCTGCTCACTGTTTAGTAGACATGCCCCTACTCGCGGTATAGCGAGTAGGGGCATTTGGGAGATTTTAATCTCCCTTGTGCTATTATGGGGGTCATATTGACCCCCATAGAGTGAGAGGGGGACCTGGGGGGGCTTATGAAGTGGTGGGGAGCACTGCTCCCTGCCGCTTCTATAGTTACATATTACAAGGAGGGAGCTGCACGCCGGTAGCTCCCTCCTTGTAATAAACTGCACGAACAAACATACACTGATACATTGTGTTTGTTTGTTCGGCTGATCTTTCTATTCACTCATTCGTCTGTCGGATGAATGAATGAATAGATGAAATTCCCGTTCGCATGTCCAGGTGTTTCACTGGGCATGTGCGGGAATCTCACAGTCTGTCTAGTGTGGGCTGATGACGTGTCCCACAGGGACTTCACCTACCCACACAAAGATGGCGGCGCCCTGAATCAAGATCGGGGCAGAAAATAAGGATTTAAAAATAGGTAATGTGGGGGGCTTAGGGGTATTTGGGGGTGACTAGTGGGTCAATTGGATGTAGTGGAGGTGGGAGGGGGGTTAAAAAAAAAAAAAAACGGGATTCGGCATGACAGTGCCGCTTTAAAGTTCAATTTACAAAGCAGAAGCTAAAACATCTAAAGAAAGTGATTGAAAATGAAACATTTTTTTTTAATGCAGGCTGTGTGAGTCACTGCCAGAGGAGGTGTGGCTAGGGATGAATAAACGGTAAGAAAAGTGATTAAACTTCTGTATGGCAAAAAATTGAGCAGTGAGTCTGTAGGGGCATGATCTTTACACAAAAACTGCTTCATTAAGCTAAAGTTGTTTTGATGCTTATAATTTTAATAAGTTAAAGGTTAACAGTTGCTTCTCTGAATGTGCCAGTTCCTTGTGTCCTCAGCTTATTAAAGGGACACTATAGGCACCCAGACCACTTGAGCTCACTGAATTGGTCTGGATACAGTGTCCCTATTGTGCTTTAATGTTAAACGTTGCTGTTTTAGAGAAACAATGTTTGCATTACAACACTAAGACAGCCTATGGACTATGGGTTTGTTGAGTGTCATGTTAGACTGCATGTTAGATATATGGCTAAGTCAAAATAATGGTCCACAAAGTTAAGAGCTCATCGCCCTTCACAAACAAGGAACAAGATATAAAAAGATAGCGCAGGCACGGAATGTTCCTAGACTACCTGGACGGGGCACAAAAAATAAGCTTTCAGTGGCTGCAACCAGATTTATGAGAAGGCAGGTTATGAAAAACCCTTGAGTGACTGCAAAAGACCTGCAGCAAGACTTGGTGATAACAGGCACTGAGGTTTCAGTGTGTACTAAAAACAGAAGGTTTCCATGCCAGATCTCCAAGACGTGCACCTCTACTGATCCAAATGCACAATAAATAACAGCTCAATATGCTCAAAATCCTATAAATAAGCCAGAACTTTGGCGGTTCAGTTCTGTGGAACGATGAAACTAAATTGATACTTTTTAGCCCAATGGACCAGCGGTATGTTTGGAGGAAGAAGCCTACGCTGAAAAGAACACTCTGCCTACAGTTAAGTATGTTGGTGGCTCTGGGGATGCTTTGCATCTTCTGGCACTGGAAACCTGCACCATGTGGAAGGCAAGATGGATTCATTAAAGTATCAGGAAATCCTAGTAGAAAACTAGCTTCGTCTGTGAAGAAGCTAAAGTTTGAGTGGCATTGGACCTTCCAAAAGAAGCAATGATCCCAAGCAAGGCTTGGTTGCAGAAGAAGTTCTGGAAAACTCTACAGCAGGGCTTGACAAAGTCCAGGTCGCCTTGGCGACTAGAAATTTTGCCCAGGTGCCTGGGATTTGCAGCCCTTTAACTAAAGCTTCCGTTGGGAGAACATTGGAGCTGGACGGTTGCTGTGGGAAGCATGGGGGCAGCCGGCACAGGGAGCGTGAAGTTGACCGCCCTGGGGAGAATGAGGGCGGCCGGCCCAGGGAGTGTGTAGTCGACGGCCCTGGGGAAAATGGGGGCGGCTGCATTGAGGCGGCAGGCAGGGGCTGCAAGCGAGGGAGCAGCTCCTCTCTGCTCCCTCCCGCTGTCTAGTGATGCCGGAATATGACGTCATTCCGGCCCAGGCATCACTACAGGGAGCAGAGAGGAGCTGCAGGTAGGTTACTGCTTCCTCGCACACAGGAAGAGCAGCCCCACTTTACCCCAGGGAAAGTCCACTCAGCTCTCGCAAAGGTTAGGTAGGCTAGGTGGGTTCAAATTAAAAAGTTTGTGTATGTCAGACAGTGTATATGTGTGTGTGTGTCAGTGTTTGTGTGAGTGTGTGAGAAAATGTGTGTGCATATATCATTCTTTTTTATTTTTAATTCTTTTTTTTTCGTGCATGAGGTAATATAACAAGCTTTCATGCCTTGCCCAACAGCAGAGCATATTTTGATATGAACAAAGCATAACAGTTGTGGCATAAAGTGCCCATTTTTGTATATGAGACATCAGGAGAAAACAGAGTAATAGTCAGTGGTGTGGTAACACGACAAATGATAAATCTCAGGTTATACCGGCTGACTATGTGAGTGAAGGTTACTAGAATAAACTAGTGTTTTACATGTGAGACACATTAGTAAGGAGATGGTCATAACACCTGACTTTAAGAAACATGCGAGCAAGTTTGAGATCCATTAGTGAGACTCGTTTACATATGAGTAGACCATGCTAGATAAATGTAATATAAAAACAATAAACAGGCTGACCATGCTTGTCTATGTCTCTGTGTTTGTTTGTGTGTGTGTGTGTGTGTGTGTGAGAGAGAGAGAAAATGTGTGTCGTGTTTTTGTGTGTCTGTTTAGGTACCTGCACCCCTCTGATCACATGAGATTTATTTCTAGTCACTTTTTTTCCCCACGACGTGCCGGTTTCGCCACAGCTTGTCCCGCCTCCATGGCGGAGATAATCAGTCTTTATGATCTCCGCTAAACCAATGCCAATATCCTCCCAAATTGGGAGGATAGTGCACATGTTCTCCATGGGTAACATTCAGCACCTCCAGGCAGAGTGTGGAGACGCTGAACAAAGGTACTGCGCAGCACTGACACAGGACTCTCTAGTGACCGTCTGAGTAACTGTAATAATAATAATCCTATAACTAGGAAAGACTTATGCCTATCCCACGCATGCTTAAACTCCCTCACTGTGTTAACCTCTACCACTTCAGCTGGAAGGCTATTCTATGCACCCACTACCCTCTCAGTAAAGTAATACTTCCTGATATTATTTTTAAACCTTTGCACCTCTAAGTTAAGACTATGTCCTCTTGTTGTGGTAGTTTTTATTCTTTTAAATATAGTCTCCTCCTTTACTGTGTTGATTCCCTTTATGCATTTAAATGTTTCTTTGTTGCACTAGCCATGCTTCTCCATGAGAATCATTTGAATTTAAAAAAAGTCACATCCATTTCAGCTAGCGCTCAGTGTGTGAGGAAGAGCACCTCCCTGCCTGTCTGACAGCTATCAGGTGAAACCCAGGATGTTTATAAATGTCCTGACTACTCTAATCTGCACTTTTGTTTTTAAAGTTAGAAAGAATGGGACACTTGGTTAACCCCTAAATCATTTCACCAAGCTGAAGTG